ACGACTACGACGGCTACTGCGACTGCAACCACAGCATTCTTCTGGTTTTAGCAGCAGTGCAGTAGGGCACATTTTGTCTTACCTTCTTCATCCTCACATCCATGTCATCAGCATTTGTCATCATCATTTTCTTCATCATCATCACCATCATCACGAAAATCACCGTTACGCTTTTGCAGGGCGGCGCTAGCTTCCACGTTCCAACTGGGCACAAGCTTAAGCCTCGGAAAGGTCTAACGTTACTCGATTTCTAGCAGACTCTAGCATCCTTCACCGGTTTCGGGAATGTAAGCCTGAGATAAGAAGCCCGCGCCACAAGGCAATGCGTGCAAGGGCCCTGAGCGCTTGCTCATTCAGCCCAGCCGGTGTAATGGGTTTAGGACAGGCATTTTCTCTGCAGCGCCCATTAAGAGAAACGCAACACGATGCGTCAACGACATGTCCATTCGACCACACCGGGAACTTATCTTTTGGCACGGATCCTCGCTGAAACTGTAGCATACCAGTCACGCATCCCTGAGCGAATGCTGGTCAGATGCAACCCAGTAACCCCCAGTGTCAGTGTTGCATACGAAGTCTCAAAAGCCTCAGATCGCAAGGCTTGGGATTGCCGACAGGAAGCCCGCAGGACTTTTGCCCGGTGTCATTTCTGACCTGGCTTTCTTTGCCGTGGTTTGTTTGAGGGAGCTTGGCAGCATGGATGTCCCCTAGGAAGAGGAGACCCAGCCCGCAATGTCTTCTCCAATGAACGAACTATGCTTTGACGTTAAAGCTTGGCGAATCATTACTACTTAGGGCTCTGTCGGAAGACCCCGGATATCGAACATGGACACCATGGTTAGTTAGCATTCGTCTCCTTCGTGTGATTTTCCGATTTTTGCTTCAGGTTCAACCGCAGTGAGACTTACTTTTTCTGCTTACTACTTACTTACTACTGGCTACTAACTGCTTACCACTTACGACGACGACGACGACGATTACTCCTACNNCTATTGCTACTCCTACTCCTACTACTCTGCTGCTACATTTGGGCAACAGAACTTGGATCCAGCTTTCAGCGGTATACAGCGAATCAATAATCATACAGGTCTACTTGTTCTTGTTGGCTGAATGGCTATGATCCTTCGCGCAACGTGATTTTGGCTCTTTCGTGCTGCTTTTCTGGTTGCAGCTCCTAAAACTTGGCATCAAACGCGCAGTTTCTTGAAAACACGCTCGAAACCAGGATTTGAGGGCAACGGATCTCCAGCCAACTAGCAATTGCAGGCACATGGGTCGGGCTGCGGGCTCAGCAGTCTGGTTAGCTGTCATGATTCTTCACTTCTGGTGCTGGTAATTCCAAATGAAAGCACAGCAGCACATCACTGCACACTACCAGAAGCCCGGAGCCAGGGTTAGAAGTGCCACAGGCCCAGTCGCTCTGAAGAAATTATTGCATTCCTTGGAACTCAGGACCGTTAATGCAAAGTTCAAACATCCGTAAGGTTCGACGGGGTTACCTTGATCCTGTTCATTACCTTGATGAGCTCTGCACAAAACAAATTTTTCCACTGAAAAGTATGCGTGGCATCCTTTGATAAGCTTTATGCCCATAAGCTTGATTCCTAATCCCCAAAACCATGATCAACAAGCCGTCTCTTTCAAGTCGACGCCTCACCACGGCTGGGAACCCGGTTTGGAGTGATCGCGACCTCGGAAGCAGGTCTTGCGGCCACACGAGGGACAGCGCACAAACTCTGAAGAGGATTTGGAGTTTAGGTTTTACCAGGATTGCCTGAACGAGCCTAAGTACAGAGCACTGTCGTTTTCATACATTTGAGAAACACAACTCCAAATAAAATGTGAGCGCACCGCCACGAAGCTGAGGGCTCGTGTTCTGCATGTGCGACAGGTGACTATTGGCAGTAGAGCTAGGTTCATCTCACGCTTTCTTTGTTCAGTCCCACCTCTGCAGCTTGAAGAATGTCCAGCTCTGGGCATGCGAATGTCGAGGCAGGTTAGTGAAGAGTTGGTGACGTGAAGACCACTGTGCTTGAGGATCGAGGATCACCAGCCGGTGCAGGCATAACAAGTCAAGACAATTTGGCCCCGTTCCGAAAAGCTTGTCTATGGATCCTCTGAAGAACAGCCGCTTGGAACCCAAGATCGGTCGGCATTATGATTCAGGTCTTTTGTCTTCAGTGTCTTGTGATTTCAGGATTCTTCCGGTTCGAGTTTACAGAGTGAGTAGTCTAAGTTGGGATGCCTGTCGAACTGATGCTTGGAGGGCCTCTCGAGCAGGTGATACGATCACTGCAAGCAACCCCAACTGAGACAGACCATGAGTGGAGCACATGGGAGCGTCTTGCCAACAGTCTACTGTCGCAGAGTGCCTACAAGTACCTGAGCGCACTGCAAATGCTCGAACACCTGGATCCTGACTTATGATAGCAACGGCTGGGAACCCCACGGAGGAAGCAATTTCGAGCTCGTAGGCCGTAACCAGCTTTACTTGTAGGAGTCGTAAATCCTCACTTGGAAGCTCAGGGGTGTGCAAGAATAGAGCAGCTCTGATGATGCAAAGTTGTAATTGTAGTGCCATCCAACGTACTTTTGTGTTGACCGACAACGAGCAGTGCTCCTTACCTTGCTCGTATTGTCGTATTGACTTTGAGTGGACGGAAGCGACCAGCTGCTGTGCCCTAACATTTCTCGGCTAACGTGCGACGACTACTGCTTCCAATGCCACGCAAGCAACCAGTACGAAGTCTAATATCACCACCATGATGCATGCCACGGTAAGAGTGTTTTTTTTTT